GAAATTGTGTCCGTGTGCAGATGTTCTAAGGGTTGTCCAAGGTTTTTTTGGAATGGCACCCAGTGTGCCGATAACCATGGGGACCCCCACTGCGGGTTTATGCCATAAATAATAATAATAATAATAATAATTATTATTATTATTATTATTATTATTATTATTATTATTGCTACTACTACAACTGTAGGCAACAGGATCTATCAACCAATAAAACAAAAAGAACTTAGAGTACTCCATGAAGGATATTTTGTATTTTTCTGTGTCCACTTTTTTGCTTTGGAATATTCTAGTAAACAATACGAAGTAGAAAAAAGGTACAGATTCAACCAAAGATGGGGGGGATGCATATTTTAATTATTAAGATGGGAGGGAAAATACTGTTCGGGCCCCACCTCTCCTTTTGGAAGTGTACCCCAATGCAGCATTCAAAGGCTGTATTGGGGTACACTTCCCCCCAGCCTGAATTAATACCAGACCAGTTTTCACAGTGCACCTTGGAAGACTCAATCCACGTGCACCGGGTCTGGACAGAGTGAATGACACACTACTCTTCCAATAGAGGTAGATACGAAAGATTTGGGGGCTAAATCAAATTTTCTCCAGTTGCAGTCAGTGTCGCATTAATTAAATATTCTTCCTAGATTTTTGTTTTCCCCCTTCTGCATCATGTTTTTCGGAGTTAAGACTTTGAACAGACAAGATTTTTTTTTTCTATGAAAATAAAGAATGAAAAGAAAGAATAGTATCTTCACCGATGCTTGATCAAAGCGAAAAAGAGGGCTGTGGGGCTATTTGCTCTGTGTTTGAAAAAAATCTCTTACGGTGATTCTGTTTTAACCAAGCCACAAGCTTCATAGTTACAGGATACATATCAACTTTCAAGGTAGACAGTCAAATATCCCTAGGAGATACATCTCTTACGTTCTTAGAAACACTGCCATTTATTTTCAGATTATCTTGTAAGGCAAAAATAACCTTCCTACTCTTCACAGAAAGCAGACATCAAGCACACCATTTCACTTTCAGAAGGTCAGTGTAAGATAGTGAACATTTATTGTGAGATTCCCAAACACAATATAACAAAGATGTTTGCAGAGACAACTGCTTACCCATCTCAGGCATATAAGCAAGAAAGCATGAGCTAGTCATAACATCTCCAGGCCACCTGAGAATTTGTCTTCTCCCAGCTTAGTTAATTACCTAATAAATCATGTTTATTGTTTGGACACATACTCCTAGGAATATAAACTATGGTCTAATCTAATTTCTTCCTCATGCCTTTCCCAGTGTTAAGCGATCTGTTTGTTGATCCTTCGTCCATCTGGAACGGATGTTTCCTGAGATCAGCAATTTCAGAGTCTCTTTAAATTATCCTTGCTTTCTATGTTCCTCTTATAAATTATTGTCATCTTCTAGAGATTTGCCACCAGAGGAACACATGGTTTTGAGAATCCCTGGGTTTTTAGCATGGCTTTCCTCTGTAAAACTAGGTAGGTCTCCTCCTTTCTTCCAGCCACTATCACAACTATGCTGACTTCTGCACACAGTTAAGTGACTTGATAATACAGAACCCCTTAGCAGCAATTTTCCACTGGCCATTTCCACTGTTTTCCATCCACTTGTCCAGTTAGATGTGACAGCATTACAAGGCTTACTGGAATTTCAAAATACTAGCATAAGAACTTCTTCACTTCTGCCAGCAACAACAATGCAACTCAAAGATCTTGCTAAGGTTTCAAAAAACAATAGAAAGATCAATGAGGCAGAATGACGGTTGGCCCATCAACAAGACAGTTCAGTGTAGACCCAGCACAGAAGCCCCAAACTGCAGAATGGTTTTAATCTTCAGGCTATTCATTGTTATCCATCTCCACCTATTCAGATGATGTCCAAAAGCTTTGTCTATGCCCCTCCATGTTGTCACCTTTCAGCCTGTTCCATACTCCACAGTCCCTTCTAATGTGTTAGGACAATTGGCCTCTTCCGAGCTAAGAAGCTGACCATCCACCCCTTCTTTCCATCCTTGGCATGTCCTAACCTTGCCCTAACATTTTCTGTGGTTGAATCTTCTACATAACGTACATACTACACAGGAATACAGAAGACATTACCATGATTATTTTGCACAAGTGGGACACCTTCAATCAGACATGGAAAGTAATAGGCAAATCACTGGCATTTGGCTAAAATGAACGACTGTGTTTGTACAGTGTGCTTCATCTAGTTATTGAAGTTATGTTCTGGGTAATAATATACTGAACCATAAATGGGTTGGCTTTGTACTGAAGTAAGAGTCCACTCCCAAGCAGACTAAATCTGTACTGGTTGAAGGCTAGGGGTGCTGTCTTCTCCTTCTTCTCAGATAAACTTGCCCGGTGTGGCATAAATCATGGTTAAAACAAACCATTGCTTAGAATCAAGTGTGAATCCAGTGATGACTGGTGTGGGTCTTCCGGGATGTGTGGCGGGTTTCTGGAGGTTTGTTTCCTAATGTTTCGCCAGCACCTGTGACCGGCATCTTCAGAGTGCAGGAGCACAGAGAGAACTGCTCCTGTCTGTGCTCCTGCACTCTGA